GAAGTTTCCCAAAGCTATTTCCCCAAGCTATTTCCACGGCTTCATCCCGTCGAGCATCCGGTCTCGCTCCCTCCCAGCGAAGTTTCCCCAAGCTATTTATGTCCCCCAATCTCTTTCCACGTCTTTCAATCCCGTCCGAGCATATCCGGTCCTCGCTCCCTGCGTCCCGGAAGTTCCCCCAAGCTTTTCCCCAACCTATTTCCACCACGGCTTCCTTCCCGTTCTTCCCTTCCTTCCCTTCCTTCCCTTCCTTCCCTTCCTTCCCTACCTTCTTCCTTCCCTCTTCCTTCCCTTCCTTCCTTCTTCCTTCCCTTCCTTCCTTCTTCCTTCCCTTCCTTCCTTCTTCCTTCCCTTCCTTCCTTCTTCCTTCCCTTCCTTCCTTCTTCCTTCCCTTCCTTCCCTCTTCCTTCCCTTCCTTCCCTCTTCCTTCCCTTCCTTCCTTCTTCCTTCCCTTCCTTCTTCCTTCCCTCCCTTCCTTCTTCCTTCCCTTCCTTCCTTCTTCCTTCCCTTCCTTCCTTCTTCCCTTCCCTTCCTTCCCTTCCTTCCCTTCCTTCCCTTCCTTCCTTCTTCCTTCCTTCTTCCCTTCCTTCCTTCTTCCTTCCTCCTTCCCTTCCTTCCCTTCCTTCCCTTCCTTCCTTTCCTTCTTCCTTCCCTTCCTTCCCTTCCTTCCTTTCCTTCCCTTCCTTCCTTTCCTTCTTCCTTCCCTTCCTTCCCTTCCTTCCTTTCCTTCCCTTCCTTCCCTTCCTTCCCTTCCTTCCCTTCCTTCCCTTCCTTCCCTTCCTTCCCTTCCGTCCCTTCCTTCCTTCCTCCTTCCTTCCGTCCAACACATCTCCGTCGAACACTCAGTCTCGCTCCCCCGCGGTGAGTGCAACTAAACGAGAACCCAAGCATCGGAGATGCTTTTGGGAAAAAAAAGGCATCGACGCATCGTTGAAACAACCAAAGAGATTGCCAAGGCCCTTGACTCGTGAGAGGAAAACACAATACATCAAAAATCTCTTAGTTTTTTTTTTTTTTGGGGGGGGTTCCTCAGGATACCTCGTTCTGTTCCAATCTTGTGTGGAGTGATGTGTGCTGACAAACCGATGAACAAGTGACACACGTGTGAAATAGTGGGGCTGAAGCTGCAACAAGTTTTGCATTGAACTTGTACGTTGGAAACTGCAAACAGTATCAAACAGTCATGTTATGTTCGTAGCTCCTGGACAATTCGGGCACATGACCCTTGTCGTATTCAATTCCCAGGTTACAGGCTTACACTGGCTTACACGCTAGATATAGTTGGATATTGTGATAAACAGTTAGTCGTCGCAGACCGCATCTCGCAGGAAGCAAAGGTGAAACTCAGGAGAAGGCTTTTGTAGGAAAGACATGTCATGGTTTCTTTTGGATTTGGACGGGTAACGTGGGTAAAGGAAGCATGAAAAACACAAGGGGCACATGGGCGCATCACGGCAATCCTAAGTGATCAGAAACGACTAATGTTTCAAGACACTGGGGCAAAACCGCAAGTGCTTTGTCTGTTTTACAGGAGTTTGCCAATCGTTTTAATCTGATTGCTTCCCTTATTTGTTTTGACACGACTATTTGGGCAACATCTGGACAGAACTAATTAGTGATCGCAAGATATCGCAAGGTTGCTTTGTCAAATTGAGTACCGGGATTCAAAACAAGAGAATCTCCGCAAAAATGCAGGTGGCTTGCGTTCTCACGGAGTCCCTGGCTGCACTGGAAACTGATGCATGATGTGTCATGTTGCGTTCCCATTTGCTGTCGCTCACAAGGGTTGGCCATGCCTGCTGTATCTAACATGTTGACATGTTGAATTTTGTTTGGTCCTGCTTGAGGCTCTCTTGGCTTAGAAAGAAGCGCGGAATAAGATTACCCCATGAATAAATGGCAGAGGTGACCAAAAGTTTTGCGCCACGATGTTGATTCGTGTGAGCAATTCAGCAGATTTCAGCAGTCACCATTGTCACCATTCAATTGACAGTTTTAAGATGTTTTAAGATGTTTTAAGATGTTTTAAGATGTTTTAAGATGTTTTAAGATGTTTTAAGATGTTTTAAGATTTCACGAGATTTCACGGTTCGTGGATGTTCGTGGTAACTTCGAGCAATTTCGGGCAGCTCAGTCAGCTCAGTCGAGGTGTGGGGAAGTGTGTGCGCCCAGCAGCTGCATCGAACGCCCAAAGCATCCATTGGCACTGCGCGCCTCGGAACTGATCCCACCGAAGTTGCTGAAGATAAGTTGTGCCTTGGAAGAAGCCATCTCGGGTGACATTGCCTGTCTTTTGAAGATCTCTAATTATATGTGTATCTTGAAATCATTGAATATATAATGTTTATAGTCAGTTAGTTAGTTAGTTGTGAAATACTTGTGATAGTTATGCAATGTTATGTTGAATATTTATGTATAAACAGTAAACATGATAAATTGAATAATATAAACATATTTAAACATTCTCCCATGGTGCAGTGGTGCGGTGTTTGTGCGGTGTTTCGGCTGAACGCTGCAGGTGGCCGCAGTTTCGCATCGAGCTTGGGCTCGGGCTCCTCGGGCTCGGGCTCGAGCAGCTCGGGCTCGTCGTTGGAGATGCTGTCCTTGGCGCATTGGGTCAAGGTGCTGAGCTACAGAGGCCGTGGCCCGTGGGACATCGATACGTTTGATACGTTGCTTGATACGTTGGTTAATTCGATTTCATGCAATTTCATTGGATTTCATTGGCTTGTTGGTCAATTTCATGCAAATTGATCCAATTTCTTTATGATACTTGCGCTGGCCAGGGTGCTCCACCGTGACTTTGTCATGTCGTTTCGTCCAACTTGTCACGACTTGTCACAACTTGTCACGACTGGCGACAGGAGGTGATTGGCCTAAAGGATTGATTGCAGAGGTGCCGGGCCTAAAGGATTGATATTTGGTCATTTGGCTTGACATATGTTTGACAGGTCAACTTGACATATGTTTGACATGTTGATCATGTTTCCTCTTCAATTCGGGAGACGCAGGTGTGGATCCATCTAGCAAGAACTAGCGAGAGCGGGTCACATCAGTTGTGTGTCCAGGTTTTGCGATGGGCAGGGTTCGATTGCAGTCTCCAAAACATGTCTGAGCGATCGAGCCATCGAGCCATCTTTGCGCTTCTAATTTATGTCTTCGATAAATTCTAATGTGCACTATCCATACTATCCGCTGGATGCAGGTCACTTCCTGGGAGAATCCCTGTGATTTTTTTCTACCTTTCTGCCGTTGGCTTGAAATGGAGCTAAAGGAAGCAGAGCAGCCAAGTGAAGTCCTGAACCAGATCCTTGGCTTTGAAAAACCGGTTCAAACATGTTCAAAATGTGATTAAGCAAATTTAAACAAGGTCAACACTGAGTCAACACCTTTTTTCTGTGCTCTCCATTGCTCTCCAAGTTTTCAAAAGTCGCTCCGAGGATTTGGGACTTGGACCTGCTGCCAGCTTTCCGCTCCGAGCTGCAGCCCTTGCGGCCCTTGCGGCCCTTGCGTTTGTCCTCCGGCCACATTTTTGCACGGCCCTGTGTGAAGATTCGAACCGAGTGGCAAGGAGCACTCTGCGATGCAGAGGTCCTGCGGATTGCAACTTGCAACGGATATGGAGTGCTGTAGAGATAACTGTAGAGGAATATGAGGGAATTCTATGGAATTGTCACATTGAAGCACGCATCCGTCAAAATTGGTTCTAAAATGGCTGTGAAAGGCAACGGCATGTGGCACAGTGACAGCATAAAAGCAGAAGTCAGCATAGTGCATGCAGAACTTGATGATACATATCCTCCCTTGCACACACACACACACACGCGCATATGATATATCACCTGTGATAGATACAAATAGATAAGCAAAAGCAAACACACAAAGAGATAGACAAAGAAGTAGATGAATAAATAGATACATTCAACTTTTCAAATGCATATGTATTTTCTTTTAAATATATAACTAACTAAATAAATATATAAATAAATAAATCAATATAAATAAATAAATAAACAAATAAATAAATAAATAGATAAATAAATAAATATATATATATATATTTATATGTGGTCACCCCCCTCCCAACCAGGGCCTACCTTGAACTTTTTTTTGTGGTATTTGCAGCAGACAGTTTTTTTTTATTGTCCAGCTTTTTGTGTGATTTGCACACTACCACACAAGTACGGTACAGCTAAACTCTTGTTGTCTTGCAGTTCCTCAATTGCCACCTGGTTACTCCCCTAAAACTCCGAGGTTGCCTTCCCTTCAAAGTAAAGGTAGCCTTTGTAGATGAATAGGGTGAATTCATGAATTGAACTTCTCCATTGCAATCTTGCATTGTCTGTCGAAGCATTCTACTGGATGTATTTAGCTTTCCAAGGTGTGTTTTCTTCTTGGATTTGGCTATATTTTGAAACCTATATCGACCATTGTCATGAAGTAATCCATTTTGCACATTAATGTGTCTTTTGTTTTCTCTGGATCAGGTTTCCTCTTTGTAGCAAACAATGCTTTGAAGAAATGAGATTTGTAAAAGTGTAGTCTTCATTGCAAATATGCAGCAGCATCCCCTTCAACCCAAAAAAGGTGCTGTCATTTATAAGCTGGTGGTTGCCTTTGAGCTAGCATAGTTTTTTTTCAGGAAGAAATCTCCTTATGAAGGTTGGAATCTTTTTGTTTGAAAAAAATAGTCCTCTACAAAGTGTGTTGTGTTTTAAAGTGCGGCATTCCTGCTTTCTTTCTTTATCATGGTAACATTCCCTCCAACAGATGCAGTTTTCTTCAAATATTGAATACTTAAACCAAAGCTGCAACCTTGTTGAACAAGAGAAACAATGTTGTTTCAGAATATGTAGTGTATCCTTTAAAGATGTAGTACTCCTCTCAAAGAAGCTCAGCTGTCCTCTTTGTTCCAAGGTAACACCATTTCCTTGAGCATACGCAGCACTCCTTTCAAAGAAACCCAGCTGCCCTCTATTTAGACAGGAACACCATTTATTTGAAGGAAAGCCTTCACTCACCACAAGGAGAATTCTTACATTCCCAAAGGCCAAACCTAAAAGGAAAATTGCACATCCCCAAAGAATACCTGCGCATGTTTAGCATGCAATACTTTTTTGATCATGGTTTGTGAAGGATCCATTTGATAGACACATGATGCCTTAGAGGCCAGATGAATCAGCTTTGGCTTGGATTAATCTGGATTAATTCTAGGGATCAAATTCTTGAACAAAACAAAAATAAGAAAGAAAACAAACAAAACAAACAAAACACAGTTTTGGGTGACCTACTTTGGGATGGGGGGAGGGGAGAAGGCTCTCCAATGCATTTTTTTTGTGGCAGATAGCAGATAGCAAATGGTTGACCTTGCAATGAAACAGTCAATGAAATAGAAAAAAAGGTAGGTCCTGGGGGTGGGTTTAGCATATATATATATACACATATATATATACACATACATACATACATACATACATACATACATACATACATACATACATACATACATACATACATACATACATACATACATACATACATACATACATACATACATACATACATACATACATACATACATATATATATATATATATATATTCACGCACACACACACACATATATATATATATATCTCTCTCACTCCCTTCGCGCAGACATGAATGTACAATACCTTTGTTTGACAATATGTTGCAGGTATAGGGGAAGAAAAAACAACTTAAATCAATGATTGCAGACACACACACATATATCTACATATATATATATATACATATCTACACACACACATATATATATACACATATATCTACATATATATATACACATATATCTACACACACACACACATATATATATATACATATACACATATCTACATATATATATATGTGTATATATATTATAGATTTACATGAACACATATTTTTCAATTGTGTTGCTGTTTCAAGAGTTGTTTCTGTCGTGCCAACTCTGAGGTGGAGCCTCGTTGTCGCTGTGCCCTGCAGAGTGCGACGCCATTTCTGTTGGAGTCGTTGACGTGGCCATCGCCGACCCGGGCAGAACTGGCAGCGGCGTGCATCCGTTCGCACCAAATGGATTTTGACCCATTCGCTGTGGCCGAACCGATGTCCATGAGACTTGAATAGATTTGAATGGACTTGAGAAAGGGTCAGATGCTGCAAGTTGTGAACATATTATGGGCGGAAACCAATCGGCTGAGCGAGTCGTCCCAAATAAGCGGCCGTGAATTAGAAACTAGATGCGGGGAAGAGCTCAATACAACAGCAATCGGCCCCTCTTGCAGGCCGCTGTTTGAAGCATACGTACTTGATGACTCATCAGACCCTCTTATGGTCCGGCGTGCTGGGTCAGAACCTGCATTGGAGATACCATGCCAGATATATATATATATATATATGGTACGGAACAATTGGCCTCCACAAGACAAATAACCATCTTAAAGCTTCATGCATGTTGATGAGTGATTTGAGATGACCAGCAATGAACATGTTGGACCGAAACAGTACTGGCCCAAACCGCTTTAGAGAAAGACAAGATAAGGCAAGAACTCATCAAAGGCCACTTGATGAACACAATATAGGAAATTTAAACCAGATAGTCTGAAAAAAGTGGTTTTGCATGTGCAAACAGCCATCGCAGGCTACTTGATCTGAAATTCAATTGATTGATGTGGGAAATCAGGGTGGATATGGAAGACCTTTTCCAGGTCATGTACTAGGTGGCAATTTGGTGACGGTAGGGCTTCGATTCCCCCCTGGTCCGCAAACTGTGGGCTGGTCCGCCCCGCCTGGTCCGCAAACTGTGGGGCTGGGCAATAAGGGCTTTGCTACTAGATGAACCCATGCTGAATCTCAACAGCTGGTATGGTCCGGTGGGCTTCGCGTTGAAGATGCTTGAACTTTGATGGGTTTTATCCTTGGGCCTTGTTGGATTTGGGTGAAGCTTCTGCTAGATAAAGCGCTTCAGCGTTGGGTAGAGGAGCTGTGAGGGAAAGAGCTACAGGCAGAGAAGGAAGTGCAGGACTCGCGCAAATTTGTGTGCTACATGCTAGCTGGTTAGATGAACCCCAACGGCTGATATGGTCTGTTGGGCTTGGCGCTGAAGATGGCGAGGGCAGTGACCGGCACAGGAGACAACGGACCTACTCAAGTCGTTTGCTGCATGCTGTGTACATCGACCCATAAGGGTTGTTTGGGAGTGTAGTGAGGTCTTAGGGTGGCATGCTGTAAGGAGGTGTAGCGGCTGGAGCAGATGCAAGGGGGGTGGAGCAATGTCATGTATGGAGCAGACGTGCTTTCTGGAAGCTACAGGCAGAGAAGGAATAAAAGGACTCGCTAAAGTCGTGTGCTACATGCCAGGCTCAGGTAGTGTGCTACATGCGAGCTGGTTTTGCCATGTTTTGCCACTAGACTAGATGAACCTCAACGGCTGATATGGTCATGGTTCGTTGGGCTTAGCACTGAAGATGGCTAAATGACACATTGACTTTCATTTTTGTATTGTGAGGTGTAGGTGCAAAAAGGTTCTAGGTATTAGATGGACCCGCTAAAGTCGTTTACGGGTAGATTGTTGAAGCTCAACGGGTTTCGGGGCACGTCATGCATGAAGCTGTGATGGATCTTATCCTTGGGTCTTGTTGGGTTTGGGTGAAAGTTGTGATGAATAAAGCGCTTAAGGAGGTGTGTTGGCTAGAGGAGCTGTGGGGGGGGAAGCAATGTCATGTATGGAGCAGGGGCGGGGTTAAAGCCGAACCCTGCCTCGAGAACTTTAAAAAGGTGCTCCGCAGATTCAACCTTCCTTGGCTTTCGGTCAGTCCCTCTCAGGTGGTTGTTGTTGTTGTTGTTGTTGTTGTGGTTGTGGTTGTTGTTGTTGTTGTTGTTGTTGTTGTTGTTGTTGTTGTGGTTGTGGTTGTTGTTGTTGTTCTTCTTCTTCTTGTTCTTGTTTGCTGTTGTTTGCTGTTGTCTGCTGTTGTTTGCTGCTGTTTGTTTTTGTTTGTTTTTGTTTGTTCTTGTTTGCTGTTGATGCTGTTGTTTGCTGTTGTTTGCTGTTGTTTGTTTTTGTTTGTTTTTGTTTGCCGTTGTTTGCCGTTGTTTGCTGTTGTTTGTTTTTGTTTGCTGTCGTTTGCTGTTGTTTGTTGCTGTTTGTTGTTGTTGTTGTTACTATTGTTGTTGTTGTTGTTTGTTTGTTTGTTTGTCTGTTTGTTTGTCTGTTTGTTTGTCTGTCTGTCTGTTGGTTGGTTGGCTGGCTGGCTGGTTGGCTGGCTGGCTGGCTGGGTGGTTGGTTGGTTGGTTGGTTGTTGGTTGTTGTTGGTTGTTGTTGGTTGTTGTTGGTTGTTGTTTGTTGTTGTTTGTTGTTGTTTGTTGTTGTTTGTTGTTGTTTGTTGTTTGTTGTTGTGTGTTGTTTATTGTTTATTTTTTTTTGGTTGTTTTTTGTTGTTTTTTTTTTTTGTTGTTGTTTTTTTATTTGTTGTTTGTTGTTTGTTGTTCCTTCCGGACCGCTGTCGGCGCGCACGGGGAAGAGCGTAAAACTGCCTGTCAGGGCGCGTTTATGTTCATTTCGCTCATTGTAGGCAGTGTTTCGTGAAGGTACGTGCCCGTCAGTTAGAAGTTGTGCCCGTCAGTTAGAAGTTGTGCCCGTCAGTTAGAAGTTGTGCCCGTCAGTTTGAAGTTGTGCCCGTCAGTTTGAAGTTGTGCCCGTCAGTTAGAAGTTGTGCCCGTCAGTTAGAAGTTGTGCCCGTCAGTTAGAAGTTGTGCCCGTCAGTTAGAAGTTGTGCCCGTCAGTTAGAAGTTATGCCCGTCAGTTAGAAGTTGTGCCCGCATGACATGTTATTATTTTTGGGGTGGGGAACAGGGGGTGGGGGGGGTGGGGGGGGGCACACGCACACACGCGTGATGTTACGTTGTAAGATCTTCTCTTCCACATGCACACACGCGTGATGTTACGTTGTAAGATCTTCTCTTCCACTTGCACACACGCGTGATGTTACGTGTAAGATCTTCTCTTGCACTTGCACACACGCGTGATGTTACGTTGTAAGATCTTCTCTTGCACTTGCACACACGCGTGATGTTACGTTGTAAGATCTTCTCTTCATGAATTTGATCATGGTGTTTGAGTCGACTTGTTTTTATGCTGCTGCCCTTTTGTGTTGGCTTTGCAGAGTAGCAACAAAAAGAGAGATGCGAAAAGAGATCAAACTTTCAAATATATTGCTAATGTTGCAGGATACAAAACCGTGATGACCACCATTAACTTGTCAGTTGAAATATTTACTTCCATGTGCTATCCAGAATGTCTCAGGCAATCCAGAATGTCTCAGGTTGGATGCGATCCCAAAAAATTTGGGAAAGTGTCAGATGACAACGCGTGGCTGAAGATATGAATTAAAAAATTTGGCATGTCGGCGCGCGCCCACAAAGGTCCGAAACGGTTGTTTGTTGTTTGTTGTTTGTTGTTGTTGTTGTTGTTGTTGGTTGTTGTTGTGGTTGTGGTTGTGGTTGTTGTTGTTGTTCTTCTTCTTCTTCTTGTTGTTGCTGGTGGTGGTGGCGGCGGCATTGGCAATATGTTAGCTTGCCCCCCCACGCCAAAATCGTTTCTGCAAAAACTTGTGGTGGCGCAGAAATTTCCTTAATCCAAAACAATCCAAACACATTGGCGCTTTTAGCTGGACAAATTGTTTGTTGCTGGCGTTTGAGTTGCTTCAATGTTTCCGTCCAGGGGGGTGGGAGAGACAGAGAGCAAGACAGAGAGCAAGAGAGAGAGAGAGAGAGAGAAACATGTTACTGTTAGAGGCATTTTTTGTTCACAGCGGTCATAAAGATGACATCGGGTGGTCGTGTTGCTCGGGTCTGTCGTGTTGGTTGCAAGTAACATCTTGGTCTTTGATGTCTTTGATGTTTTCAAAATTTGCAGTTCGCGATTGCGATTTTGAGCTATTACTGGTGCCGGACTCGGCTTCGGTGTTTGATTCGCTGTGCTGGTCTCGGATTTGTTTTCAGGTTTTAAGATCTCCAATTTTTAGTGGATCCGGCTCTGTTGGTCTTCAATTCTGGCATCCGACTCGTCTGCAGCCCATGTAGTGCTGTACATATCTGCTGTGCATGGGTATCTGTATATCAGGCCTGGCTCAGGCCTTGATTCTGCATTGATTTTGATCAGTTTTGTTCTAAAAATAGTCTCAGTAGACACCTGCGCAGCTTCCAGACTCCCCAGGTGAAAATTTGACGGGTTCAAAAGTAAGATGTGGAAGCGAAATCCCAAACTACAATCCCGAACGCTCTGCGGCAGATTTCGCGAAGAATTGTTTTTGCGAAAACTCTGCGAAAAAAAACACGTAAATCTACCAATCTGCGAAAGTTCCTCGCAAGTGAGCCTCGATCACATGGAGCCGCAAAAATGAAAAGGAACGTCGCGAAAGGGATGGCGAAAGAGAACAGTGAATAGAACGCCACCGAGAGAGATAGAGAGAGGGAGAGCGAGAGAGAGGGAGAGAAAGAGAGAGAGAGAGAGAGAACAAAACATGTGTAAGTTTTGGAAACGGCTCATCTGGCTTTTTGACACTTTTTGGGCATATGATTTCAGACTCAGCATGCTGTATATCACATTTGGCTTGGGGCTGTGCCTGCTGGCCATGTGCCCGCTGGTCATGTGTATAATCAATCACACTTGGTCATGTAGGTCTTGCGATTCTAACACGTGCGGAACCAGATTGAACTGCATTAACCCAGTGTTGACCGTTCATTAACCCTTGCCAAGGAAGGCAGTCTTGGCCAGCTTGGCGTGCTTGAATCTTGGCTGAGTGATGTGGCGGTTCGCCAAGATCATGGGCCAGGTTTTGCGAATGTTTCAACGGTGATTCAAGTCTTGTGCAATCCCAACCATCCGGAAACCCATCCGGAAACCCATTCGCCCTTCACGAATTGATTGAGTGACATTTGGACATTTCGCGGACGCGCATTTATATAATTGTATTATTTTATATTCATATTTATATTTACATTTACATTTATATTTATATTCATAATGACACAGTTTGTTTAATGCGTCACATTTCACAACTAGAGACCGCAACCTGCCGCCCTGCACCACTCGCTGCCATTGCCCCTGCGCCCCTGCCATTTTGCATTGTCTAAGGAAAGAGGCCTTTTTGGCAGACGAGGTCCTTGAACCTAAAACTTGCAGAGCTCACGGGAAGTTCATATGGTGGTACTTGCAGACATCATGTCAAGTTGAATCATGATATCATAGGAAACCTTGGTGTCTTGCAGATTTCTTGCTATCAAACATGACGCAGCATGGAAAAAATGGAGCATGCAGCAGGCAAGAGAGGTTCCAAGAGAGGTTCCAAGAGAGGTTCCAGATGTGTGTTGGTTGCCGTTGGTTGTTGCACTTGTTGCATCAGGCGAGCTGCAGGATGCAGGTTTTGAAGCTGTGCTGAGGTCCTCGAACCTGAAGTGACCTGGAAGGAGCTTGGCAAAAGGCGGCACACAGATGACATTATGACATGATGACATGATGACATGGATGGCTGATGGCAGACAAAGCAGCGGACAAGTGGCAGAATGCAGAGTTGGAGAATAGTTTGAAGAATTTTGGAAGATATCTGATATGACATATGATGTGATATGATATATATGACAGCTGAGGATCCACCAATTTTCTCTTTGATTGAAATTGAGGCAGAGAATGGCATTGGCAGAGATCCATCCTGAGCGGGTATCGGATATGTATCGTCTACACACACATACACACACACACACATTCCGCGTGTATATATATCTTGATAGATATAGATATAGATATAGATATAGATAGGCAAATTGTATCGATTTTTCTCGTGTTTCAGGCTGTGGATTCCATCAACCAAGCGCGTTTTGCAACGGCCTTCGCAGCTTTCCAACTACTCCTTCCTGGGCGTGGCGCCTTGAACACAAATCAGAGTTGCATGACAGTTAACAGAGAAGCGTTTAGAAAACGGATGGAAAAACAGACAGAGAGAGAGAGAGAGATCACAGTATTCACGTCAAACTAGAGTCAAAGATACACAAAGATATACATAGTGGACATAAGGTGAAATAAGATGAAATAAGTGGAAAATGAGTCTGGAAGATGCGTCTTGAAGACGAGGAAAACAGGCAAACTACAAATTTAAGTAGTCCTTGTTGCATTGTTGTTGATAGATGGAATGACCCGTGCTTCGTTTGTGCGCATTCTTTTTGCAAATTTGTATGGTTTGTGCTTTGTGCTAATCTTTGTTGTCTCATGTTGTCCCTGTGTTTTCCATGGTTGCTATGCAGTGGTATGCTGTTTTACTATTTGGATCTATTTGGTTTAGACATGTCAATTCTCTCGAGGCAACACATCAGCGCGTTTGTTTTTTTAGGGCGTTCGGATGCTTTCGGATCAGGTAGTGGGCTCTGCTGAAGGTACTGTGCCTCAGCTGCGTTTGGAACGAGGCCAGAGGAAATCTATGGAAGAAACCGACGGAACCCCACAGATCTATACAGATCGTACTGGCAGTACTGTGTGAGTAAATCTGAACATCGGAAAATCTGAACTTCTTGCGCAACCCAGGGTCCGTCCATCGTTTGTTTCTTTTGTTATTCCAGGAATTTGTGTGTGTGAGTCGGTGTGAGCATTAATTTTCTTGTTGACTAACGTCGAAGTCCTGAAGGGGTCTTCCCAAGAAGCTTCCTAAACATGCAATATGACCAGCCACTCCACTCCACTTCCGAAGCTGAACAACCTTCTTTACACTGAAGGCCCCACATCCAGCCTCAAGCCCGAAAATGTCAGAAAAAGTATGAAATGAAGAATTTTGCCCTTAGACTGGAAACAGAAAAACGAGCCTCACGCAAGCATTTTTCCCAAACGAAGAGAGCTTTCACTTCCATTTTATTCAAAACAATCTCCCCCCTCTTGCACCGCACTAGAAAAGCACAGCAAGACAAGCCGCATGGATTTCAGAGGATTCAGATGACAGTTGCTAGATTCACCACTTTTCCGGCGAAGGACAGCGCTACACTCTTGCTCTTTCAACATGTTTCAAGTTCATTGTTGTCACATTCTTGCAGGAACGGCAGGTGAATGTCCGTGTTGCAAAAGTAGCGACGCAGTTTAACTGCGTGTTCATGTGGCAAAACAAATTGCACTTCCATGATTATGTCCAAAAGAGCAGTGGATCAATGTGGACCGGCGCGGGCCATTATTTCATGATATTCATGATATTCATGATATTGATGGATTGGACCTCAGAATTCCTGGAACAACATCAGAGGGACAATGACACAAGGCAAGAAGATGGAAGAAGATGGAAGATACATCTGAACAAATTCAAGATCTGAAGTGCCAAGCTGCGCAAGCTACTAAGGTGTCGCTGGAGATCCAGAGCACGGGTGGTGACCGAAGTGACCGAAGTGACCGACAGAGAGACATTTTAGATCTGGGATGGGAAGCGTTCCTTGATGCCATCGGAGTCACGCCGCTGAGCCTCTCTGACGTGTCTGACGACCTTTCTCTTTCTGTGGCTCTAGGCCGAAGGGATCCGAAGGGTTCCGAAGGTCGATAGGACATGATAGGACCTGGAGGGCTATTTATTCTTGGATACGTTTTCGCGGCAGGTTTTGGATTTTTTTTTTGGGGTTCCTGGTTCTATGCTTTCCTGTTTCTGCGATTTTCTGCTTCTCTGCTTTTCCTGCTTCTCTGCTCTTCCTGCTTCTCTGCTTTTTTGCTTCTCTGCTTTTTGCTTTCCCTGCTTCTCTGCTTTTCCTGCTTCTTTGCTTTTCTGCTTCTCTGTTTTCCCTGCTTCTCTGCTTTTGTACTTCTGTGCCTTTCTACTTCTACTATTCTACTTTTTCTTTTCTTCAGTCATGTGTTTTTGCTGCTCTACTTCCTGCTCCTTTGCTTCTTTGCTTCCTGTCTTTACTGTCTCTTTGTTTTTCATTTTCTTTTGCTTTATTCTGTTCTGTTTGTATCCTAAATGAAACCCCAGAGGGACCCTAGGTGAAACCCAAAAAGAAACCCTAAAGACATCCTGATAAGAAACCCTGCATGAAAACCTAAATGAACTCTAAAGAAACCATAAATGAACCCTAAAGAAACCATAAATTAATCTTAAAGAAACCATAAATGAACCCCAAAGAAACCATAAATTAATCCTAAAGAAACCACAAATGAAACCCTAAAGAAACTTTAAATGACACCCTAAATGACATCCCAAAGAAACCCTAAATGACATCCCAAAGAAACCCTAAACAACACTCTCCCATTGTACCCCTTTTTGTTGCGCTTTGGTGGATGGTGTGCGAGGGTCTTGTTTCCCTTTGTCTTCCATTGTGCCCCTTCTTGTTGCCCTTTGGTGAATGGTGTGCGAGGGTCTTATCTCCTTTTGTCTCCCATTGTACCCCTTTTTGTTGCGCTTTGGTGGATGGTGTGCGAGGGTCTTGTTTCCCTTTGTCTTCCATTGTGCCTCTTTTTGTTGCGCTTTGGTGGATGGTGTGCGAGGGTCTTGTTTCCCTTTGTCTCCCATTGTACCCCTTTTTGTTGCCCTTTGGTGGATGGTGTGCAAGGGTCTTGTCTCCCTTTGTCTCCCATTGTGCCCCTTTTTGTTGCCCTTTTGTGGATGGTGTGCGAGGGTCTTGTCTCCCTTTGTCTCCCATTGTACCCCTTCTTGTTGAGCTCTGGTGGATGGTGTGCGAGAGTCTTGTTTCCCTTTGTCTCCCATTGTACCCCTTCTTGTTGCCCTTTAGTGGATGGTGTGCGAGGGTCTTGTTTCCCTTTGTCTTCCATTGTGCCCCTTCTTGTTGCCCTTTGGTGGATGGTGTGCGAGGGTCTTGTCTCCCTTTGTCTTCCATTGTGCCCCTTTTTGTTGCCCTTTAGTGGATGGTGTGCGAGGGTCTTGTCTCCCTTTGTCTTCCAATTTGTGCCCCTTCTTGTTGCCCTTTGGTGGATGGTGTGCGAGGGTCTTGTCTCCCTTTGTCTTCCATTGTACCCCTTCTTGTTGCCCTTTGGTGGATGGTGCGAGGGTCTTGTTCCCTTTGTCTTCCATTGTGCCCCTTTTTGTTGCCCTTTGGTGGATGGTGTGCGAGGGTCTTGTTTTCCTTTGTCTTCCATTGTGCCCCTTCTTGTTGCCCTTTGGTGGATGGTGTGCGAGGGTCTTGTCTCCCTTTGTCTTCCATTGTGCCCCTTCTTGTTGCCCTTTGGTGGATGGTGTGCGAGGATCTTGTTTCCCTTTGTCTCCCATTGTACCCCTTCTTGTTGCCCTTTAGTGGATGGTGTGCGAGGGTCTTGTCTCCCTTTGTCTTCCATTGTGCCCCTTCTTGTTGCCCTTTGGTGGATGGTGTGCGAGGGTCTTGTTTCCCTTTGTCTTCCATTGTGCCCCTTCTTGTTGCCCTTTGGTGGATGGTGTGCGAGGGTCTTGTCTCCCTTTGTCTCCCATTGTACCCCTTTTTGTTGCGCTTTGGTGGATGGTGTGCGAGGGTCTTGTCTCCCTTTGTCTTCCATTGTACCCCTTTTTGTTGCGCTTTGGTGGATGGTGTGCGAGGGTCTTGTTTCCCTTTGTCTCCCATTGTAACCCTTTTTGTTGCCCTTTGGTGGATGGTGTGCGAGGGTCTTGTTTCCCTTTGTCTTCCATTGTGCCCCTTCTTGTTGCCCTTTGGTGGATGGTGTGCGAGGGTCTTGTTTCCCTTTGTCTTCCATTGTGCCCCTTCTTGTTGCTCTTTGGTGGATGGTGTGCGAGGGTCTTGTTTCCCTT